TGTTTATCTATTGTATATATAGTAGTGTGTGTCTGTTAATCACAAATTTCTAATTTATCCCACCTCCCACTTTCCCCTTTGGTAACCATAAGTGTGTTTTCTATGTCTGTGAGTCCACTTCTGTTTTGTAGGTAAGTTGATTTGCATCATTTTTTTAGATTCCACATATAAGTGATCTCATATATTTGTCTTTCTCTGTCTGACTTATTTTACTTAGTGTGATCATCTCTAGGACCCAGATGAAGTCATTTTGAATCTGTGCAAAGACAATGAATGCACGTGATCATGAAAATTCTCAAATATCTAGTTAATTTAAGAAGAAACTGACTCTATAGATTTTAGTGTTTTATGTTAATACAACCTATAAGTGAATCTGAATTTTTATGCAAGAAATGAGCATTTCAACCTTCCCACCTGCTGAGGCTGACTTCCGTCCCATTTCTGGTGGACAGCAGGCTTCCCCCAGCCACACCTGGACCCTCTAAGGAGGGGATCACTGGGGAATCAGTACCACAATCTGAAGCAGGAAGATTTCCCCTGCAAATAAGTTGATTTCTATTTCCAAAAGAATTTTTTAACCTTAAAATGTTGATGTGTGTAATGTGATTTAAATGGTGCTTTTATGTTAAGCAACCACATCTCCTGGAGTTGGAGAACAGAAGACAAGAATGGTGTCTCACCTTCATTTTACTAAGTGTACGACTCTGCCTGACTTCTTAACCTCTCCACAGTCCTGCTTGCACTTCTCAGAATAATGACAAAGAGGCAAAGGCATCTTTTTTCCACAGGTTGCTATTTGGTCTCTAGTCAATTCATACATTTGAAGACACATTGAGATGTTGGTATTACACTCAAGATGCTCTGCTTTCCTAGGATCAGTGGCAGGTCCCGTGTCCCTCAGCTCCCTTGGAATTTCTCCCCTCTGTTTAGTTGGATCTAGTGTGTCTTGATCAGGTCAAGGATACATACTGTCTTGCATTTATTTTTTAATTGAAGTGTAGTCGATTTACAATGTTGTGTCAATTTCTGGTATACTGCATAGTGATTTGAGTCTACATATATATACACATATGTTCCTTTTCGTGTTCTTTTTCATTCTAGGCTATTACAAAGTATTGAATATAGTTCCCTGTGCTATATATTAGACCTTATTGTTTATCTATTTTATATATAGTAGTTAGTATCTGCAAATCCCAAACTTCCAATTTACCCCTCCCCACCCCTTTTCCCCCTGGTAATCGTAAGTTTGTTTTCTATGTCTGTGAGCCTGTTTCTGTTTTGTAAATAAGTTCATTTGTATCTTCTTTTTTCTGAGATTCTACATATGAGAGATATCATATGGTATTTTTCTTTCTCTTTCTGGCTTATTTCACTTAGAATGACAATCTCCAGATCCATTCATGTTGCTGCAAATGGCATTATTTTATTCTTTTTTATGGCTGAGTAGTATTCCATTGTATAAATATATCACAGCTTCTTTATTGTTTTATCAGTTTATCAGAAATGGTTTCACCTCTTCTTCCTAGCCGGGCTGAGATTTGGAACAGACCCCTAGCCTGAGCTTTGAAGATTGTCCCATGATGGAAAGGATCCAGAATGATCAGAGACGTCACTGTGACCCCTTTGATCAATGTCTTGGAAGCAAACATACCAGAGGGTGGCTTCTGCTTTTGGTGAACTGCTAGGACATTGTCATCTGCTGTCGCTTACAGTTCCAGTTTCTTCTGGAGCAATGCAACATTCTATTCCCCTAGGTGGAAATTTAAAGCCCAGTCTCTTCCTCTCCCCCCAGCACCCCAAGAAATCCTCTTCTGTTGTCCCCATCCCCCAGTGGAAACCCTTCATTTCTTCAGGGATGCAACCCAATCTGACCTCTTGCTCAAGCAAGATTTGATGGAAAGTCAAAAGTTCTTGAGAGAGAAAAATCATAATTTAAAGCCCAAAACTATAAATGCTTTTGAAATCTCTGGAAAATTTGTATTTTCTTCCTCAGTGCACAGTAATGGTAATAAAGCTACTCAGGGGTTAATTATACGTAAATCTCATTTTTATTAGAAAGTAATTAAGAATTATGTCTTATCATTTTAACCTTTTCCATATTCTTATATATCTGTGTCCTCTAAAACTGGAGGGAATAAATGCCATTCATTTGAAACCTACTGAGCAATGGAAAAATCATTCTAAAATGCATGTGGTGTTTTGGCTATTGTCCCGACTGCTTTGTCCTTGCCAGGTGACATGACAGGGCTGTGAGATTATGATATATTGCTCATTGTTGCAATTACCTTTGTCAGGGCATATCTAGGTTTCATGCTTCAGATGTGTGAACAAAGTAACGAGACAGAGAATCTTGGTTTGTTTTCCTTGAGTATTGATCAAATACACAACTGATTCGATAAAAGATGAGCAGATTTGATTATTTCATATGGATATTTCAGGAGCACATAAATCATACATTTAATTGAAATTGCTATGAAAAGGGACCTTAAATTGTCATGGTTAGATCCTGCATGGAGAGCATTTGGAGATTTCTGGAGCTAATTTTTATGAGTCTATTCAGAATTGACAAGTTTGTTTGATTTGCTAACTACATATGCAAGTAAGTTCATCAGAGCAAAGTCACAGTCCCTTAAAAAAGTCAAATAACCGGGACCCACAACTCTTTTACTTTATGGATTTTTAATTTATTTACATGAAATTAAAGATTCTTTTTTTTTATTGACATTTCCAAAACTCTGTGCGGTATTTTGTCTGTTTCAACTTTCATTGCCCTGGAAATACGTTACTGTGTAGAAAGGAATATATATGCACGGTGCAAGTCATTATGTCAGAGTAGACTGTCCTGAAAGAAATAACCAAAGGAAGTCTCTGTGGAAAGCAGCCCATTGTTAGTTAGAATGGTGACCACTAATCTTAAAGGGCCTCTGTTCTTCCACCATAGCTCACTCTCCTCCATGGAGCAGTGACCTTCAGGAGGGTAGGGACCTAGGGGGAAAGCCTTGGCTACAGGTCATCACTGTCCTCCCAGGACCCACCTCTTCCTCCTGTTTTTGGAATTAGTTTCCATCTGCCTCTGCCCCGTCACCAGTCCCTCTGCCCTTCCAGAGGCTCCCCCGTATCTCGGAGACCACCCGTTGAATCTGTTTCTGTGCCTGACAGTTTCGACAGCCACCATGGGGGCAGTATGTTCCTGGCATCCAGAATGAAACTCGGAATGCACTCCCCATAGATGCATTGTACTTCTGGTGACTAGCCCTGTAATACCATCAGTATGGATCAAAGGATTCTTTTTGCAAGCTATTGCAAACTTCACCATCTGGTATACACGATTTCCTTGGGACACTATTTTCTAAATTACAAGGAAAAAGGATTACAATTGTACTTTTGTTATGCCCTTTACGATGAAATTGGGACTGGATGGAAATGGTTTTATTTTCTTGCTTGACTTTTTTTCAGAAACTCTATACATTCCAAAATGCCAAGTCTTACCTGTATTAGCTAATCAGCCTAGTATTCAGTGTCCAATGATGAAGAAGTATTGTTGCATCGTTTAGAAGTTCCATCAGGGAATCAGAGGGGAGAGGATGGTCTTAAATGCAAATATTATGTGAACCAATACTTTTTAAGAGAAGACATTATGTTCATACAAAAGAAGACCCCTGTCATAGCAAATCTGTGTTCTTATTTGAAATAAAAAGTCATGTTCTAGTCTTAAAAACAAAGAAGTAAGGAACTTAAAATTTGCTTAAGGTTATTAGAAATGATACTATTGCCTTAAACAGCCAAAGAGGGAGATGAAGGATGACACAATGATTATACCGTAATCCATGTGTGTCAAATTCTCCTCCATCAAAAAAGAAATCACGTTATAATACGGTTAACATGAGAAGACTTATCTTGCCAAGTTCCTACCCCCTAACTCACTCTACTTACCTCGATTCCCTCTCAAACACACACAATAGAAAATAGTAGTACACTTCCGCTCTTCTGTATTTCTTTTTAAATTCCTTTCTTTTTAAGTTTTTTTTTTTTTTTGTGGGGTTGGGGAGAGGTAATGACGTTTACTTATTTATTTATTTGTTTAATGGCGGTGCTGGGCATTGAACCCAGGACCTCGTGCATGCTACGCACATGCTCTACCGCTGAGCTTTAGCCTCCCCCCCATACTTCTTTTCATTCCCAAAGTGAGTATGAAATTTGATTAAAGAAAAAATCTACTTAACAAAGGAAATAAGCAAACTGTTGCAAAGCTCCCATCAAAAAGGAAAGTAAGAAAATAAACCACATTTCCTTAACCCAGAGGATAATTAAATAATAAGGCCAAGAACTGATCCTCTTCCTCCCTCACTTGTAGTATCAGCCACATTGGCTGCACCGATTTAAACAGTGTATTTTCTCTTTGTCTTCTGACTGTGCATCACTGTGATGGCGAAGATAAGTAACTGTCGGAGACCATGTGAGGATCAGGGAGAACTCTACGTTGTATGAGAGCTGTTAATATTTTAAACACTGTCTACCCTTCAGGCATTGAGATATTACATGACTATACAATAGAGTTTGTCACTGATTGGAAGGTTTCAAATATTTTAGCATCTTGATAACTAAATAGGAGAAATGATTATATTAACGCAATTAACATGTACGAAAAAGTAGCCTTTCAGATTATTTCAAATGTTTCTGATATTATCTAATCTAAAATTAACTACACGATTAACTAATTTGTCTCCTAAGAAATGTCTCTATGTAGGTCAGGATGAGATCATCTGAAAAAAATCTACTCTTTTGGAGAACTTTGAAACCACCAAAAAAAAAAAAAAAAGAAAAAAACTCATTTAAGAGCTAGAGTCGAATTATATGGTCATTTTAGTTCTGAGAATTCAAAGCATAGATGGCTGGAATCATGTGCGTGTGATAATTCTAGGCTACTCTCAATAAATAATACATGTCATTTCTGCTTCACTGAGACTGTCACTTACTGCTCTAAATGACTTTCAATGCAGGGCCCAGCCTGCTCTCCCAGAGTGCACTTCAGCTCAATTCCAAACCTGAAGGGTCCTTCCAGTATCCAGCCAGCTACCATAGCAACCAGACCCTGGCCCTGGGGGAGACGGCCCCGACGTCGCAGCTCCCCGCCCGCAGCACACAAGCCCGAGGTGCGGGCCAGAGTTTCAGCCAGGTATGTGGGGGAACGGGCCCTCTGCTCTGTTGCTCCGTGGGCTCCAAGGGACCCGGTGGGAAGCAGGAGTGTGAAATGGCCATGATGGCCCCTCCTGCCTTTTTTGGGGGTGCCCTCCAACTTTGGAAAGACGCCCTGAGTGCTGTGATTGAAGGAAGTGAATAATACAATACACTTATAGAGTAACTCTGAATTACGAGCGTATTTTCTGCAGGAATGTCTGCGAATCACTTGTGCTGTATCTAACTTATATATACTTACCTGTGTGAATATGCAAGCATGTGTCTAGGTACTATTTCTGTGTCCATATGGGATCTAAATGTGACATACATACATTCTGAGTTTGAGACTATACCTGAAACACATTTTTTCATCTTAAAAAAACATGAAATTATTCCTTGGGGTTAATTGTATAAAGGAATATAGTGTAAATGCACCATCAAGTATACAGAAGTATTGTGAAGACAATTGTGATTAGTGTAGGAATAGTTATACTTTGTCAAGTGTGATTTTGAAATGTGCCCTTAATTGTTTCTTTAAGGTGTGTCCTTGTCCTCACAGCTCCACTGTACATATTTATTAGCTGCAGTTAAAACCAGCTTTTGGTAAAAAGAAGTAGTTACCAACTGGAGTTTTTTTTCAAGAAAGATATTAATGTTGTTGTTTGTGTGTGTGTGTGTGTGTGTGTGTGTAATGGATGATGTATGTATATATATATTAAAAAATTCACCAAATATTTTGGTTTTGATAATTTTGGGGCACAGACTATATTCAATCAAGTCTCCAGAATTAATATATTAGAGGGCTATCTTGTTTTAAGCTATATGCTTATTTTCAGTAGCATGAGACCTTTTCAATCTCTGTGCTTTTGCTCCTGGAATGAGGAGCCCAGAACCCCCAAAAGCACCCCTTAGGCTGGCGAGCTTAATTTCAGCCTTTCTGCATTTACTGGGTGGTACCTCTGCCAGAAGTCCGTCCCCAGGCACGCCACGTACCCCAGGCTCCTGTGACAACCAAACCCATCTCTGTCCCCAATTTACTGTTATTACTCATCGATGAGTCTTTGCAACTAAACTGAGAGCTCCTTGAGGGCAGAGCCATTTTCAGTTTTTATCCAGCAGCCCCTCACCCTCCACCTGGCTCCTAAGAAGTGTCTGCAGACAGAGGAAGCAGAACAAGTTAGAATGACATCATATGGTCACCGTAAGATGCTTATTTTAGGTGATCTGGGCGTAAATGAAGTGTAAGCTGAAAAGTCTCAGTGCATTTCAATGATTAAGGGTAAATGCTGTCCCAGATATCTATTAAAAATATGATTGTCTTCTTCAGGCAATACCCTTGTGCATCAGTGGCTTTGTAACCTTCACATTGTTGTGATGCCAGGGTTGTGTGGATAAAAGGGAGAGATAAATAAAACATTCCACCGAGATGGGCTGGTCCCCCTGCAGTGGTCCAGTGTGACCCCAGTTCAGGCAGCGTCCCATGTGGATGGAGAACTGGAGGTATGTGGCGCTGGAGAACAGAAGGACCCCTTGGTCACTGAGTCCAGGTCCACGCACGCAGAGGCCGACCCGGGCAGTGTGCTATTTCCCAGCTCCAGGATCACTGCTCTTTAAAGGCACTGGTCTGTTCCACCTCCCTTGCAGAAATGTGATGGGATGCAGGAGCGAATGTCTAAAAAAAGGTTTTTAATTTATTAGAAAAAATTATCTTATATATCCAAATATACATACATTTATCATATGTACAAAATTATCCATATTGTTTACTTACATAAGCACATCAAATAATATTGACAATGTTGAGTGATGTTATTTGCATAGTAAATACTTTAAGATTTTTTAATCTAATTTTATTTTATTAAAAGATTATATGGAAGCTATATGATTTCCTTCGCTAGGTTTAGATTGTTTTTTTCCTCTCAAAAGCATCCCATCCTGAAAAAGAATTATTTTTCTTCTTCCCATCTATACTGACCCTCTTTGACCGCGATACACTGATCATGGTAGAATATATGTAATTTCGAATTCTCTGGAAGCAAACAAGTGGATTACAGCCCCTTTTTTTTACCTTCTATCTGTTCACACTTCTAAGTCCAAGGGGCCAGAAATATTCAGAAATGAATAATATTTTTTATTCAAATTAACCTATGAAAGCTATGAATTTAGTTTTTACCAGTTTCCTAGAACTTCTAAGACATGCAGCTCATAAAACAAAATAGTTCTGCCTTTTTAAAAATTTTTATCTTGAACTCATTTAATACTCATGCTTGACTTTTCCTCATAAATATCTAAGACTCCTGCAATTTGAGTTGAAAACATTGTCAGATTTTTTTAAAAATCAGCAGTCCCATAGCTGATCATCATGGAAAACAGACATATCTGTGTCAAATGAAAACTCAGTCAGCTTTTCAGCTTAACACGTGAGCTGCTCGTAAGCTCAGTTCACACCCATGTATGTAAGGACTAGTTGTTAAATCAAAGCTTTCTTGATTCTAAAATTCATAATTACCATCTATTGAGCACCAGAAGTAATCTACTTTACAGTCATCCTCTTATTTAATCCCCCTACAGGGCTGTATTAGCGTTTACATTTTAAAGATGAAAAACCTCAAACAATACATCGAGAGAAGTTGTCAGGCACCGTTTTAAGGCAGCAGCAATAAGAATGGGAAAAGAATCTTGACTGAGTTGAAGTCTGATCCCTTTGAGAGAGTGTTTTGTAGGTTTCCTGTTCTAGATTGACTTTCAATTAAAGACATCTACAGCTTGAGCCTACTGAGAGCTCTACACAGTGGACAAGCAATGCAGTGATGCGTCTACTCCCATGTCGTCAGAGTTCCCCTTGCTGGGCTAAATTCCAGCATCCACCAGTCGCCGTGGGAGTAAAACAGTAGAAGCTCGAACGGCAAGATTGAGCATCACATCAAAAATCCGCTTTCAAGTTTAATCAGAAAGTGTACTAAGTTGCAGAGAGAGCAAAGCTGTCTATTCGAAGGCGTCTATAAGTGTGCCTGTTCACGGCGATAACTTAAGTTTGAACCCGAGGTTACTGGTGTGCACTTGTTTACCTGACAGGTGGGTGGATGAAGTCTGAGTATGCAAACTGGCAGGGGAGAGGCTTGTTCCGATCCACCTGATTAACAGGATGGAGGCTGCTGGTGGATATCGGAGTGTTACTTACCGCAGTGAAGTGGCGGATCTGGGTCCCGGATCTACTTTCAGCCTCGGTGTGCTGCAGTGCGAAAGGCATGTTTTACTGTGACTTTAAAATCTTGTTCGAGGAATGCCGAACAGTAAGCCAGCATTTTGCTCAGTGTTTAGTGTTAGATCCTTGAAGGCAGGGAGACCACATCCTATTCTCATGACATCTCTGTTCACATTCTCCTGGGAGTCCCTCTCTGCCAGTGGTTTTGCAGGGCCCTGTGACACGTTCTTTCACTATTTTGAAAGGCGTTAAAGTTCATTCCTTCAAGCCTGGATTCATTTTTGGAATATTTTGTAGTCACAGAGCGCCAAAAGGGCTAGTCAAGCTCAAATAATGGTTGACAGATGCGAGACCGAGTTAATAAGGTCAACAATCCAGGAACACAAAAACACTTCTTTTTTTTTTTGGTCTAAAAAATGTATGATTTTAAAGTAAAGCACATGGTTTTCTATCTGGCTCATAAATCATGTCAGAGCACAATTTCAAGGGCGTATCACAAATGTTCAAAGATGCTAATTTCAATTTTTGACAAACTCTAGTTTGTTTAACATAATCAGTATTTGTTGGGTGGCCTCCCCTGGGCTCTCACCAGGCCCTGGGCCACAGCCTGCCTTGCCCCACCCTGTCAGTCTGAAAGAACCCCTAGTCACAAAAAATCGCCATAGAATATTAGTTCTCTGGCATTACCCTCATTAAAATCCTTGAAAGGCATTCTGTCCAGACGCTAAGATCATGGGACCGAGCTGGAGCAGAGAGAGCGTGAGATGCTTCGCCTCAGACCCAAGGCCTTCCCAGAAAGGCACGTGAGCCGGTCATAGTTGGTCCTTTCTTCACACCAGTGCTTGCTCAGCTGCCCTGCACGCTCCCAGCCCTAGCCTCCAAACAGGCTGTGTAGACTACCCACCCCCCGTGCCTCTCTCCCTCCTCCGAGTCAGCCTCGGCCTTTGTGTCGCTCTGGCGAGGTGCCTCGGTCAAAACAGAGCTGCTCCTCCATTTACATGCCTATAGCTCTAGGTTAGTCTTTGACACCGTCAAGATGTTATTCTGTGCTCCATGCCTGCCATGAGCTGTTACACGTGCTTGGGATGGAGAAGGAAAGAGAACAGACATGAATGATCCCTGTCCTCAAGGAGTGTATATTCTAGCTGCAGTGATGGGGACTCAGAAAATCAGCACGAGGGGGCGGCTCAAGGGGCAGGGTGCGTGCTCAGCACACACAAGGTCCTGGGTTCACCCCCCAGCACCTCCATTAAAATAAATAAATCAATAAACCGAATTATCTCCCCTCCACCCCAAAAAACAAAATTAAAAATTAGGAGAAAAAAAAGAAAATGAAAATCAACACAGTGAATAGGTAAATTGTATAATTTGTTAGAAGGTGAATTCCAGGAAGGGGAAATGAGTGCACAACAGGAGAAGCAGGATCCAGAGTTCTTGGCGGGGGTCGGGGGTGCTGGTGGCACATGGGGCTTGTGGAGCAGGTGCCATGATGCTTAGGCAAAGGCACGGAGGAGAAGAGGGGCTGTCTGGGGGACGGCAGAGGCAGTGGCTCCTCGATGAGGTGGCCGGGCATGTTGGCAGGACATCAAGGAGGCTCAGGTAGGCAGAGTGGGGAGCAGGAGTTTGCAAGTGGACGGGAGACCCAGTGGACTGCTGTGAGGATCTTGTCTTTGGCTTGGAGTGGAATGAGGATCTGGCAGAGAATTTTGAGCAGAGGCACAACACGGCCACAACTTACTGTTGATAGCATCGCTCTCTCACACCACATACACCCCCCTGTCGTAAGTGGCTGACGAGTCTGTTTCTTCCTATGAGATGGCCTTGTCACAGGAGTGGAAACCATACGAAATTCATCTCCACTTTTCGAGTGACTGGCCTGGGGTTCAGCAAGTGTTCCTCACGTTCCTCACGCCCCAGCCTCTCCTTTATAATCACACCACAGAGACTGTGGGTGGTGA